CAAAACAGCCACGAATTCAAAGCATTTGAGGTTTACAAAGCACAATGTCTAGTACTTAATAATTGCCTGTTGTCTTGACCACAACCCTGTGAGATAGGTAGTAAAATTATCCCCATTTGGCAGATCAGGAAACTGAGGCACAGAGAGTTAAGTCAGTCCAGGGTCACAAAGCTAGTAAGCCAAAGATCAAACTCAAGTCATCTGAGACTAAGAGGAGTGCTTATACCACACAGTCTGTCAAAGTACCTTTCAGCTCTGAAATTCTATGTCCTATGTTCTAAAATTCTTTTCAACTCTGATAATTCTATACGCTATGTTTTAAGATCTCTTCTAGCTCCAACATTCTGTTTTCTAAGGCTCCTTCTACCTCCAACATCTGTGTTCTAAGATCTCTCCCAGCTCTGACATTCTAGGTTCTCTTTTCTATAGTCCATTTCACATTAACATTGAGAATTTATGGTCTTCCAGCTCCAGCAGTCAATGGATATGATATGAATATTTTGAAGAGTCTCCTGGGGACCACTTGGGTTAGGGCTCTAAAAGCAGGACATGTGATTATGCTCTCAGTTTTTGCACACATATATGGCTATTCAGTTCTGCTCCCAACATGCTAGGTTCACAGAAGAGCATCCCCAGGAAGCCGTAGCAACCCTGCTGGGGCCTCTCTGGGTTCCTGCTCTCCAGATGGCCCTGCTGCCAGGTAACCTTGACTAGCACTCTGGATCAAAATGCTGGGCCTCATTACCATAACACTCCTACTGCTGGAGCCCCAGTGGTTCATGCATTACCCCTCCCAGAGAAATGAGCCAAACTCTATTAGCGGGAATAAAAGGTGCATTATTACAAGTGCTCAGATGCAGCTCTCATTTGAACACTTAATGGCTTGTTAATAAAGTCTAATTTGGGGAGCCTGGTGCACAGCCTCTGGGGGGAAGGGTAAGCTCTTGTGATATTAATCAGGGGAGCTGAAGTCACTGCCTTAAGCCTGCTTGGCCTTTGGTGCCTTCATTGGAAAATGACAACTTAATCCATAACAGAAAAGACAGAGGGCACTGGGTGGGGGATGGAGGTGGGATGAAGGTATAACTGGTGCATGCAAGCACAGGATATTAGCACTGTGGATACGTGACTGTGAGTGCAAGAAGAGAGACGTATGAAAATGTGAGTTTGTGGGGGAGTGGTATGTAACTGTGGAGTATGTATATGTATAGGATGGCTGTCTACATGTGTATACATAGGGACGCTATATAGACCTGCATATGTGCAGGATGACTGATGTATGTGTATATTCTGGATGACTGTATATGCATGGGAGGGAGGAGGACAGTAAGTGATTATTATGGACGTGTAGATGTGCAGGAATACAGTGTGTGTGTGTGTGTGTGTGTGTGTGTGTGTGTGAAAGAGAGAGAGAGAGAAAGAAGAATCATAAGATTTAAAGCTGGAGGGGACCTTAGAATACAGAATATAGAATGATAAATATGAGAGGGACAAGAGAACAGAGAGTATCAGAGTTGGCAAAGACCTTAGAACAGAGAATGTCAGAGCTAGAAAGGACCTTAGAATACAGGACATAAAACGTCACAGCTCAGAAAGATCTTACAGGGGTGGGGAATCTGTGGTCTCAAGGCTACATGTGGCCCTCTAGGTCCTCAAGTACAGCCCTTTGACTGAATCCAAAGTTCACAGAACAAATCCCCTTAATAAAAGGCTTTGTTCTGTAAAACTTGCACTCAGTCAAAAGGCCACACCCAAGGACCTAGAGGGCCACATGTAGCCTTGAGACCACAGATTTCCCCACACCTGTGCTTAGAACATAGAATATCAGAGCTGAAAGGGACCTTAGAACAGAGAATGTCAGAGCTGAAAGGGGTCTTAGAGCATAGGATGTCAGAGCTGGGAGGGACCTTAGAACACAGAAAAATTGCTTAAGCTACTAAGTATCTAGGGTCACACAGCTACCATGTGTCACAAGCAGTTATATATTTGCACATATATACCCATTTACATATGCAGAGAATCAGAACTATAATTGCATATATGGTAATATAGAACATGTTATAAAGTAATACAATAATGTTACATATAGAAATTTAACATAAAAGAAAGAATATCATTTCTCTGTTGTATTCTGGATTATGTAGGAAATGTTTGTGAACAATTCAAAAAGTGATACAAAATATCTGTGGATGTTTTGTGTAGTATCTTGGCATTTGTATTAATAATTAAAAGTTCTAATTTCACTTCCAAATAAAAATTAACTCTCTCTCTCTCTCTCTCTCTCTCTCTCTCTCTCTCTCTCTCTCTCTCTCTCTCTCTCTCACACACACACACACACACATACACACACACACACAAGAAATTCAACGTAACATATAGTAATATAATCATTTAAATATAGTAGGAAGGAAAAAAAGGAAACATTAAGTTCCCACTATGTGCCATGCACTGTGTTAACCACTTTACAAATATTAGCTCATTTGATCCTCACAACAATCCTACGGGGGTAGGTGCTGCTATTATCCCCATTTTACAGGTGAGAAAACTGAGGTAGACAGAGATTAAGTGACTTCTACAATCATACAGCTAGCCAGTGACTTGGGCTAGATCGGAACTCAGGTCTTCCTGGGTGCGTACTCTATTGCACCATCTAGAGGCCTCTAATAATGTGCTATATAATAATACGTATAAATGGCAATAAACATTGTATTATGATTATTATGCTATTTTGTCTCTAATACTATATTAGAGATATGTATTTATGGTGCTGCTTCTGACACACAGGAACTGTGTGACCTGGGACAAATCAATTAACCGCTCAGCACCCCAAGCAATTCTCCCAGTCTCTAAGCTGCAGGGCAGATTCTGACCTGCTTCACTGAGAGATCTTCTTACTGGGAGCTTTCTACCCCAGTGAAATCATAGGGCTGGTCAGAAAAAAAAAATCATACACACACACACACACACACACACACACACACACACATAAAGTATATACAAGGAAATTTCAGGGTTTCAGTGGCACCATTTAGATGTGACTTTGATGGGCTTTGGAAGAACATTTTTTTTGGCCAATATGGGTGGCTGGGGATGGGGGTCTTAAGGAGGAAGAGGAAAGGATGATCCGGCCAAGAAATTCCATTTCTATAAGCTTTTCCAAGTTGACTGAGGGCTTTCCCCAGAATCCTGCTGGGAAACAATCTTACATCTCTGAATCCTAGATCCAGAGCTAGAAAGGACTTCAGAAATCAGCAAGTTGAACTCTTTCATTTTACAGAAGAAGAAACTGAGGCACAGGGGTGTGGTCAGGCATAAAATGACTTTCCCAAAGTCTCACAGTTAGCAAGTAGCGGGGCTGAGATTCAAACCCAAGTCTGATACCTGTATTATTATCTTCATTTTACAGATAAAGACACTGAGACTCAGAGTTGAAGTGACTTGGTACTGTCAGAGTCAGGATTTCAATTCAGATTTCCTGACTCCAGAGTTCCTGCCACTATACATAGGACCATGTATTTAGATCTGGAAGGAACCTCAAAGGTCATCTAGTCCAACTTCTTCATCTTACAGATGAGGAAACTGAGGTCCAGAGAGGAGGACTAAGGGATTTGCCCATGGGCATACAATTGGTAATTGGCAGACTCAGGATTTGAACCCAGTTCCTCTGATCCCGAAGCCAGCTCTCTTTCTTTCTGTACCTGAGCAAAATCTCCTTCCTTGGAAGCAAGGATCAGGAGCTTCCCTTCGTCCTCCTGGAAGAGGAGAGGAGAGCACTGCTCCAAATTTCTCAGCCCTCAGCCTGGACTCTCCCTCTCCTCCCACGATGCCTCTCCCCAGCCCCTCCACCAGGGCCTACTGCAATTGCTGACGGGGCTGCTCAGCCACAGACACTAACACCGTCCCCTGGTCCCCAACATATGCGGAAGCTCCCCTCCCAAGCCACAGGGTGCTGACTTAGCCCCACAATTCTTCCCAAGCCCCCGTTAAGATGAATCATTTTTCAATTACCACACTGAGGAATAAATGAGATTAAAGTGCTGACTTCAATTACCCTTACTAATGCTATTACCACCCTCCCCCTTCATCTCCCCTCCCCACTGATAGGCTGTGTGCCATATTCCCAAACTGGACTGATTAAGAAACCACTACACCTTTAAATCAGAACGATAAAATTACCCTGCATTGACTGAGCAAGCCTAAAGACTAGACTTTTCAGGTGCTCCTTGCTTAGCTGGAGGGGGGCGGGGGCGGGGGCGGGATGCTTCATAGCAAAAGGCCCTGAAGGCATTAGCAGACTCCTTCCCACCAGAGGGCCCAAGGAGCAAGTAGAGCATTATTTTACTCTCCCATGCTCTCCCCATTCTATTTCTAGTCCTTTCCCCCTCCCTTTCTCTCCTCTTTCTTTCCTCCCTCTTCCTCTTTCTTCCCTCCCCTCTCCCCTCTCCCCTCTCTTCTCCCTTCTTTTCCTCTCATCTCTCTTATATTTCTCTTCCCTGTCTCCCCTATTTCTCTTCCCCTCTCCTTTTTTCCCTCTGTCTTTCCTCTCTTCTCCCTTCTTTTCCTCCCTCTTCTCTCCTCTTCTCCTATTTCTTTTCTCTTTCTCTATCTCCTTTTTCTCTTCCCCTTCCATCTTCTCTTTTCTCTTTCTTCCCTTTCTCCCTTCTTCCTCTTTCTTCCCCCATTTATTATCTTCCCTTCCCTTTTCATCTTGTCCTCCTCTTTCTCTCCCCACATCATTGTTTTCTTCTTCCCCCTCTCTCCTCCTCCTCACTCTCATCTCTTCCCTTCCTCTATCTCCTTTTTTCCTCTCTATACCTCACCATTTCTTTTTTTTTTTCTTGCTGTCCTTTCCTCTTTCTACCCCAGCCTCCTTCTCTTACCTTCCTCCAAGGCAGAGAATGCCTATCTTTCTTACTCAGTTCTGGGGTTGAAGGGGTTGCCAAACGACCTGCAGTTGCATAGGATTTATGAGGCCTCAAGGCCTCAGGCCAATAACCCACCATTTCCTCTGTGCTGCTCTTAGGACCCGAGGGACTCTGCTGCTGAGGGCCTGGCCAGATGTAAGGCTAAGGTGGACCCCAGAGCTGAGTTACAGGAAGGCAGATGTGGGTTCAGCTACAATCAGGAAGGACTTCCTAACCGTCAGAGCTTTCCAAAAATGGAGCGGGCCGCTGTGGGAGGAAGTGAGCGCCCGGTAAGTGAATCTCTTCAAGCTGCATGTCAAAGGATATTCCAGAAGGGCCTTCCTGCTTCTGTCAAGGGGCTTCCAGAACCACTGTGCCTTAGGGTTGGAAGAGATTTCAGAATCCCCTAGTTTAACCCCTAAGCACCCCCTCTATACCTTCTCCAACACGTGGGTATTTGCCTTTCTCTTAAAGATATCCCCTGAGGGGGATCCCCAACACAGCCCTTTAAGACAGCTTGGATGGTTAGGAAGATTTGCCTTATATCAAGATGGAGTCTGCCTCCCTCTGCCTTCCACCCACTGCTCTTGCTTCTAGTCTCTGGAGTCAAGTAGCCTCAGTTTAATTCACCATTCTACATGACAGAAAACCCTAAGAGTAGTCAGGTTTATAGAGCTAAAGCTAAGATGAACTTCTGAGGCTATCCATTCCCCCCCATTTTACAGATAAGGAAACAGGTCTGAGTGACTTGCCCAAGGTCACACAGTTGGTAATGATCAGAGATAGGCCTTGAACCACCCCATGTCTGCTGACTCCAGAGTCTGTGCTTTCTACAGCCATCATGTCCCTCTTAGCCTCCCTTTCTCCAGGCTAAATATTCCCAATTTCTTCAATAAATTCTCATATACATACATACATGCCCACACATACATACATACATACTTTCACATACAAACATACATACATAAATACATACATCATAAAATGTCAGAACTGAAAGGGACCTTAGAACATAGGACAAGGAATGTGAGAGCCAAAAAGAAAGTACGTGGACCACAAGATGTCAGAGTTGGAAATCCCTTAGACCATAGGATATCAGAACTAAGAAAGAGCTTAGAAATAATCTAGAACTTGTCCCCAACACATATAAATACATCATTTTACAGATGGGGAAACTGAGGTCTCCAAGAAGTGAAATAATTTGCTAGGTGGCACCATAGGTGCCAGAGCCCTGGGCCTGGAGTCAAGAAGACTCATCTTCCTGAGTTCAAATCCAGCCTCAGACACTTACTAGTTGTGTGACCCTGGACAAGTCATTTGATCCTGTTTACCTCAGTTTCCTCATGTGTAAAATGACCTGGAAAAGGAAATGGCAAACCATTCCAGTATTTTTGCCAAGATGACCCCAAATGGGGTCACGAAGAGTAGGACACAACTGAAATGACTGAACAACAAAAATATGGAATGAATGTATTCTATATAATAATTAATACATAACATCATTATGTGACATGTAATTACGTTATGAGGTTGGATTGTGATACTATTGGGTTTACTTTTACAATATATAATAATTATTCCCATTTTACAGAGGAGACAGAGATAAAGGGACTTGCTCAGGGACTCACAGTGTCAAGAGCTGGTAACTGAAGAGGAGAATTGGATCATAGACTTAGAGATGGAAAAGACCTGTCTAATTTGACAGATAAAGAAACTGAGGCAAACAGAGGTCAAATGACTTGCCCAGGGTCAGACAGCTTATATGTCTGAGATGGGATCTGAGCTCAGGTCTTCTTGACTCCATGTCCAGTGACCTACAGTTTCTCTTGCCTCCAAATCCAGCCCCCTTTGTACTAAGCCCTGGCATCTCCTGGGGGAGCTTTCTTGAGACTTCCTTCAGCCCCTCACTACTCCCTCAGCCCCGGCACTATTTAGACCTAAGACTCTTGGCTAGATAAGAGGTAGCCTAGAGTAGAACAATGGCCCCTCCATCCAGACCCCTCCCCAGCCTACCCACCCCTATTCCACACTTGCTCTGGAGCAGCCCCGTCCTTGGTGGCTGTCACTGGCCTTTCCAGGGCATTGATGGAGATGAGAGGCTTTTTGGGGAGGCAGGCACAATGCTGCACTTTGTCAGTGGCTAGAAAGCCTTCTCTCAACCACAGCCTTCCAGTGGCAGGCAGTCTGGTCTGGCTGGTGACCTCACTGCCATCTTTAGTTAAAGAGACAGGGGGAAAAAGACAATGGGGCATAGAAATGGGGGAGGGGTGGAAAATTGCCTCTTGTAAATTGCAACCTTGCTCGCTCCCCTAAAAGCACCTGCAGAGCCTTTCTTGGGTCCCAGGGCGCTGGGAGCCACCTCCCTCTCTTCACCAGGGGTTTAGGGAAGCAGAGCAGGGCTGGTATCCAGGCAACGGGTTTGGGAAATGGATCTCAAAACCCACTCAATTCACATTAGTACAAGTTAGGGCAGATCTCCGTGCAGACCCCAGGAAGGTGGTTAATTTTCAGTTTTCCAGCATGAAATAAAACTAAATAAAATAAAAGCAAGCACCATTACTCTCTTTCTCTCCACAGGGATGTGTGTTGGGGGTGGGGGGATGTTTTCTTTCTAGCCTCTTCTTTTCATAGGGGCTTCTCTTGATCCCTTCTAAGCCCCATCAAAACTACTTCTATTACAGTGAATCTTCCTTTAATATTAGTTCTCCCCAATCAAGCATGTTCCCTCGGGGGTCGACTGTTTCTTTCTTGCACAGTTAGTATTGATTATGACATCACACATGTTAATTGAGCAATTACTCATTTATAAAACACTTCTTGAATAGGAATCCTGTGAGGGAGGTAGAAAAACCATCATTATCCTCATTTTATACACTGAGCCTTACAGAGGGGAAGGGAATGCCCTAAGGTCACATAGCTGATAGGTGGCAGAGCTGATCAGTCCTATTGACTTCATGTCTACTATATTTACTGATCTATAGGAATAACCCTCTGGTGGGGTAAACTATCATGTTGACAAGGGAGCATATGCCCAGTGCCTAGTACTTAATAGGTGCTTAATAAACGTTCAGTGATTGATTGAGGCAGCCCAGGTGTTAAAGTGGCTACAAGTGCCAGATTTGAGGTCCCAAAGACTTGAGTACAACTCCCATCTCAGACATTTACTAGCTGTGTGACCCTGGGCAAGTCACTTAGCCACTCTCAGACTAGCTTCCTCATCTATGAGATGAAGAGATGAATGATGACGTCTTTTTCCAGCTCCAGATCAATAATTCTAGGCAACAACCTTAGAGTCTTTCTGAGTTGCGACATAACATGGAGAGATTCACTGATTGCCCAGAATCACACAGTCAGTCTATGTCAGAGGGAGATTTGAATCCAAGTCTTTTATCTTCCAAGGTCAGCTCTCTAGCTGGCACATCATTCTGTTATATCTCTCATATAAGGAGAATAATGTTTGTACTCTCTGCCTCCCAGAGCTGTTGTAAAGAATGGACCTGTAACCACATGTATATGGAAATTCATTGGCATAGGGAACTCCTGAATGGGGACAGTCCCTTTACCCATCCAGTTCACCACCCGCTAGTCTAGCCCAGAGCACCTAGAAGCTGGGTGACTTGCCCAATGTCACACAGGATGCCTGAAAGGTAAGAGATGAGCCCAATTCTTCCTGACTCTGAGGCTGGCTCACTGTGGGCTCTACCACTGTTGCCCCATTCTTTTTGTCAATCTTAAAGCCCTGTGGAAAAGCATGTTACTGGTCACGTTTGCAAAGACTTTCCCCCACAAACAAACCTCGGAGGGAGAAAAGCAACTATTCTTCTGCTCATTTTGTAGATAAGGAAATAGAGGCCTGCACAGGCTCTCCAGGCTGACAAGCATCAGAGCTCCAATTTAAGCCCAGGTCTCCTGACTCCAAACCCACTGCTTGTTACATTGCCCTCTGTGGCCTGGCACAGAACTGGCAGTTATGTCTTAGATGCTCAGGCCTGTGTGTGATCTCATCTTCATGGGCACTTTATTCACTGGCATGCAGCTAAGTGCCCCCCCTCCATGTCTCTGTCTCCTTTGGGAAGTCTGCCCTCTTTTCCCCTTTTGGTGATGGGCATCATTATGATCTTTAGATGGGAGTATCCTACTTCTGTACCCTCTTGTTGAGATGCGAACACTCCTGGAAGGGGTACGAATGATACTATCATCGGCTGTTGATACCATAGCTTGAATTGGTTTGTCCTATGAGCCCGGCACATCAAAGCGCCTTGAGGGAAAAGGAAAGAGGATGATAGGTTTGGATTTGTGGGGGCTGTGGAGACAGAGGCTAGCAAACGTGAGACATTTGGAACACCGACTGGGAAGACAGGCGTCAGGTGACAGTTTCCCAAAGGATAGCTTCAGGGTGCTAGGAGGTGGCACCTGGTGGCAGGGGGCAGGGCAGCTTTCTGTTTCCCCATTTTATCTCTGGCTGGCGCCTGGGGGGAAATGGTAGTCAAGGAAAGGAAGTCAGTTCTGATTCACTTCAACGAGGCCATGAATACCGATGTCCAAATGGATCCCAGAAAGGCTCTGGAAGGGCAGAATTTGTCACATCAGCAAATGCCCTCAAAGAGTGGCCTGGAGGAAGAGAAGGGGGGACCAGCCTGACGCCATCACCACTTCTCATTTCTCATTCCTTGTGGCTGGAGCTCTGGCGTTCCCTTCTTCGTTTTCCCTTTCTTTCCCTCCTAACTGTGAGTAAATTAATCGAGCCAGCCTGCTCACATCATTTAAACACTGAGGTTACAAATTCAAACTCCCTGCCCTGGTTGGGGTGGGGTAGTGGAGTGGCAGTCGGGGGAAGGGGGGAGGGAGACAAAGTGGTTTAGGGAGTGAGAGTGAATCATTGATGCTGCCCAGATGCTGGGCTGGCTTCAGGCCACCTCCTCTGTGGATTGCTTTATGTCCAGTTGGGGCAGAGGAAAGCCCTAGACAGATGCTCCTAGTGCCTAGGAGAGCCCACAGGCAGAGTCAAGCAAGGCAGAGCCTGTCTTCTGGGAGCTGTGACCATATATAGCTCTGGGAATGAATCCTCAGGAGAAATCTTGGAGGAAAAAAAGCCACGGAAGGCCAGGGGACTGAGTGTGGGTCTTGTTTTCTAAGTGGGACATCACAGGACATGTAGCTAGGAGGGACATTGAGGGACAGAATGT